TTAGCTGCTCTTGCAGAGAATCTGAGTTTGATTCCCAATACCTATAGAGTGGCATACAACCATCCCTAACTCCATTTCCAGGGACTCTTCACCTTCTTTCCTCCATGGGCACCAGACATGCATGGTCAGTCCAGACATATATACACATAAAATAATCTTTAAAATATTAAGAAATGATACTTTAAAATGTTCAAGAAAATGGCAAAATGCAGAATTTCCCTAGAAAAGTAATCTATGAGAAACAGTATCAAGTGCAAATTCCAAAAGTGCAAGGTACCACATAACAGAAAACAGAAAAGTTTCTCTCTTTAAAACTCAAGAGAGTAGAGTAGAAAAGCTACCATTAATAAATCAGAAAAGAGATCAGTAGGAAAAATAGATTAAACTGGGGTATGCAAAAAAAAAAAAAGTTGCAAAGGCAGGAAGTGCAGAAACCTCACACACACATGATTATACCCTAAACTATGCAAAAAGGGTCACAGCATATTTAAAGTGGGATAGAAATTTTATAACTTAAGAATTTCATCACACAGGCTGAAGAAGTTACACTAAATTTTCAACAAAAAAATGCAAAGAAAATGGAGCACATTACAGAATTATAGAATAATAACTAAGAATGAGAATTTTAAAAATCATAAAGGTGGCCATTAAAAACACATTATGTTGATGAAATAGACCAACAACTGACTTTACAGTGAAAGTATAGAAACCAAAAGACAATGGAAAATATTTTTTAACTGAAACCCAATGTTAATCTATAATCCTGGGCTAACCAATAAATTCTTCAAAATTGAAGAAATGGCAATACTTTCAGGTTTATAACTGGGATAACCTCTTCCAGGAGAATTGAAATGAAGTAGTTCATACTGAGATTCACTATGTTAGACTCATGACAATCCTCCTGTCTCAGACTCTCAAGTTTGGGATCATGGTATGAACTGCCACCCCTAACTCAAAAAACATGTTCTAAATAGGAACATGCCAAGAGATTCCTCAATGGTAAATGACATGATCTTGGAAAAGACATTTTTAAGTTTCCATTTCATCACTTCTAAAATGAAGGTGAGCACAGAAAAAGAAAAGGACAAACTATGAAGAAATCCACTCACTACCAAGACACTGAAAGCTTAGGCTAAAAGAACAATGCCTGCTCAACATTGCTAGGCATAAACAACAGTTATATCCCTATACCAAAGAATTACTTATACCAAAATATTTTTAATATTGTTAATATATCTGATCACTTGATTGATATTTATTAATACTAAGATATTATTACTATTTTTAAAAGTCTGAATTACTCTTGTCTGAGTTTCCAAAACATAGCTTTGCATATTTTCTCCCCAGGATTTTTAATCTTTTGATATACTTTTAACTGTTAATCTTCCAACATTTAGTATATATGTAAAAAATAAATAGTACATGCATGAAAATACATTCAAATACCACCTATAATCAGTCTCTCTACTTTAAAATATAATTCTTCCTCTAATTGGCATTAATTTACCTAGAGTTCCTATCTTTCATGTTATGTGTGTATGCATGTTATGTGTGTGCAGGCTCCTGTGCATGTTGAGTGGTACAGAGGACAACCTCAGGTATCAATGGGAAGGCCATTCACCTACTTTGAGGCAGGGTCCCTCACTGGCTTGAAGCCTACCAATTAGGCTAGAGCACTAGTCATAAATCCAGGGCTCCTCCTGTCCAACTCCCTGGCACCGGGATTACAAGCACAAACCACCACAATGGGCCATGAGTACTTGGCTGCTCACTAAGCCATCTCCCCATCTCTCTAACTTTAAAGCAAAATATTTTCGTAATTTCAAATTTCTAAATCTTCCATGTAAGTATGATTGTGCCATTCTTATTTGTTGTTGGAATTTCTTTTGAATGTCACCAAACCTTCTGCGATATTGTGCAATGGCTTATAATTTTTTCATAAAAATAGACTAAAGAAAGTATTCTCTGCTGCTGAGAGTTTTCATGAAATCAAATGTAACTACGATAAACATATGCTATTTGCCAGGTATTTCTGCATTTATTCTCTTTTTTTCCTCAGTTGTTTTAGCTTTTTTAGATGAGGCCTTATATAACCCAGACTAACCTCTAACTTGCTATGTATGTAGCTGAGGCTGACCCTGAACTGCTGATGCTCCTGAGATTGCCAGCCTCCAAAGTTCTAGGATTACAGACAAAACCAGCATGCCTGACTAGATATATTAACTATTTAGTTTCATTATTATTCACACCTTTCAGAAAATGAAATTACAAAGCAGAGGGGTTAAACAACCTATTGAGGGTTATACACATAGTAAAAGAAAGTAAGAATTTGAATCTAGAGTGCCTGCTTTCAAAATGACCTCTCGACTACCATGGTAAACTTACTATTGACAGCCAGGTACTTAGTACCATCTGAGTTTTGCTAGCCACACAGTCTGTCACCACTACTCAACTTTGTTGGAGCACAAAAGTAGTCACAGACTATACGTGGAAAAATTAGAATAGCTTTTTATCCCCCCATAAAACTAATTAACAAAATCTAAATATGGAGGTCCATTAACCCCCAGAGGCAGAAGCTGCTGATCCAGCCCTGCCCAGAAAGGGGGTCTCTCTTCATGATCTTTTTCTCTCCACTGACCCCTCTCACATCTTTTTTCCTCACACTTTTTAAAACTACGACCTTAACCCCACAGAACAATTTTAGAACACTTCTTCTGAGGTTGAATTTTCACACAGTTTTCTTGGATGATTCACATGTTCTAACTAACACCAATTATGCCACAAATTAACCTTAAGCAAAATGAAACCTTTCTAAAACTCTAAGAGAAACAGGCACTGTATTTTCAGTGTGAAAATGACAAATACATTTGAAACCTTTCTTATGGCTGAGACAGGAAGGCTACAAATTCAAGGCTTGTCTTGGCAATAGAGTAAGAGGAGGCTCAAGATCAACCTGGCCAATGTGAGACCCTGTCTGAAAACTAAAGAGTGGGCTAGGGATACAGCTCAGTTGCAAGGCTAGCTTACATAAGGCTCTACGTTTAATGATCAGTACCAATAAGCAGCAAAATTGTCTTTTGAATTTTACTGTTGTTGGATACAATTTTAATGACGTACACTATATTTAATAATCACAATCCAATCACTTGTAACACACAGCTCCACTGAGGTTTGTAGCCACACAGAACAGCCAGGTCTCAGAACAATCATCCACACCAAAGCAATCACACGTGGAACTAAGACTCCCAAGTCCTGCATTTCACAGCTCAACTGCACACCTATCACCATGGCATTTTATATGCAAAGACATAAACAGTGTTAACTGTGAAGAAAAAGTACCCACCTCCATCAGTTCTCGCTCTCTTTCTCTTACTCCCTCTCTCTCTTACACATACACAGAGGGGGAGGGAGGGGGGGAGGGA